AAACAACTCAACCACTATGCATTGATTATGCCAGCCGTTGTTATAATGTTGCATACCAACCTATGGAGACCATGATCAAACTGGTCAAAATTGCCCATCCATCAGTGTATAACATTATTTGACCTAGAGACTAAAGCCAAACATGAAGGGATGAAGAAAATGTCTCAACACATTTACATGTGCATTCTCCTTTCCTTGACCTTAATCAAAGAAATCCCTCTCACACATCCTTCCCTGACACTTATTTTTCTTAGCAGTAGGCTGGTGCAAATTAGTAGTCAGTTCCAGTTCAATGACTTGACAATGGGCTATGCACTGTACTTTTGAAGGTAAGTTACATTTGCCATTTATCCAGTGTAGCAGACTTAACACTTACAGGTTATAAAATGGCACTTTTCCTCACACATTTTCTTTGACTCATAAGGTAATTTAAGAAAATTATTTCAAAATTTTCCAGATGTCTGCTGTTTATTTCATTTCCCCCCTTTCTTTCATTAGAGTATTGGCAGAATTTTTTTTTGAGAAGAAAGAGAATAGGATTCCCTTAAATAATCTATTAGACATTCAACACCAAGGAATTTCTCTAAATTCTTTAAGAATGTGCACTGATGTTTCAGAAATTAATGTTTTTAAATATATCCCATCTCTGCCCTTCCAACCCTCACCAGAAAAAATTGTAGAATCTACAATTTCCCTTAGGAAACTGTATCCTCTTCCAGTGATTCAGTATTTCACTAAATTTCACCAAATTCAGTACCTCCACTGAAAGAGATCTTTCCTTGGTGTATTAACCAGGTTGGTCTTCACATGAAAGATGCCTATTTTGTTTCTAGGCCTGTACTCAAAACCTTCTTTCTCACTTTGATGGAGAATGACAGTGCTTGTCTTCCCCTAGAATAGCTCCCAAAACTCAGTGGAACTCTAGCCCTTGAGGTGGAATCTGGGGAGAACTTCAATGGAGAGAGTAAGCATATCAGTGTGATTCCTCAGTAATTTTAGTTAGGAATATCTCAGATATTACCTAAGGCCTCTGACTTACAATTTAAGCCCATTTCCTCTTATTTTGGCTCCAGGATTAATGAAAATAGCTTTTGAACTATTAATTATTATTTTGGTTCCCAAAATGGCATCAGGTTTAGTATCAAATATCTGGGGGGAGATGCTAGTGAATTTTTACAATGGACTCTCCCCCCTCCAAAAATAATCATGATCCACTTTTAGTTTAGTCTACATTGATGCTTTCTCTATCACTTTCTTAAATCTAGACTACCAACAGAATAATACATGAAGCCCTGATTGATAGCATTTTCTGATTTCCAAGGCATAAATGCTCACACTGAAAATTTAACAATTAGCTTGCTCTAGTTTGAACTGATTTTAGCCCACCTCAGTATCTATCTAATAATGTTGTTGTTGTTGTTGTTGTGTGATTTCATCAGTGAAGGCAACTCTCCAATTCCTTCAATGAAAGCAGGTCAGCAAAAAGTCTTGTAATTTATAACTTAGTTGCCTGTGGGCACTGAGATTTTAAGTGACAAGTGCAGGGTCATAGAATCAGTTTGGTTTGGTACCTGAATCCAGTTTATCCTGATTGAGGGCCAGTTTTATCTTCATAGTAAAATTCTGCCTCTCAATAATGATTATGTTAAACAAAAATAGGTATTTGAAAGTAATAAAATGTCTATTTTTGGTCTTCTCTCCACTCGGAATTATAAACAAAAACTACTTCTATTTTATTTAAACAGATGATGGTAAAATGGCTTCTTCTTAGCTCAGAACTGTTACCTAATACATGGTGTGGGATTTCTAATCTAAGTATAATTGAAGAATATGACACTTAAATATCACTTACATGGACATTATATTGCAGCACAGTGTCTGCATCCAGAGAGGGAGCACTTTAATCACAGATCATCATGCTGATGGACTGGAAAGAGCCTTTGAAGGCTACCTTGTGTCAATGGCTACTATGGGAGTCTTTAGACCATGGATCACTAACACTGTAAGTGGTAACAGCTTTCGAGGAGTACTTCTTAACTTTAGTTCAATGAAAGCCATTAGGGTATCTTTATATGTGGTATTTTCTGATGAACTATAAGTTAATAAATTACAAGGAGGTACTGTCACCTACTACATGTTGATAAGATAGATACAATATTGTGCACTGTGGTACCAGCAAATACTTATACAAACCTCTAGATCGTTGGAAGGGAAGGGAATTTAGAGATTATCTAGTCCAATCCACTGATTTCTTAGAAAAGAAAACTCTAACTTAGAGCAGGGAAGGGACTTGCCCAAGGTCCCATTACAAGTGAATGGTAGCATTAGAAACCTGGTCTCTTTTTTCCAGGACAGGGTTTCTTCTATGGTAGCAGGTTGTGGAGAATGATTCTGTGGATTAATTATAAAGAATAAAAATCTCTCTTCCATGTAATTCATCACATGGATAACAACAATGACAAGAATAATAACATGGAATTTATGTATCAATTTGAGGTTTGCAAAGCACTTTCCAAATATCTCCTTTGATCTTCACAACTATGGGAGGGTAGGCATTTTACAGAGGAAGAAGCTGATGGAGAGGTTAAATGATTTGCTCAGGCAGGGTCACACAGCTAGTAAGTGTCTAAGGAAGGCAAATTTGAACTCAGATCTTGCGGACTCATGGTCCAACCCTCTATTCACTGTGCCACCCAGCTTTCCACAACTAAAGATTTGTAATTGTACTTTTTTTCTAAAGAAAACTACCAACAGTGAAAGCTTCTTATATGAGATACTAAAAAGAAAAATAGAAAGATGCTGATTAGGCAAAAATTTCAATTAGTGAAGAGATAATTCATATTTATGCAGGTAGTATTTCTCAAAGGCTTTGCTCTTCCTCCTAAAACCCAATTTGTAACCTGAAACCCAAAGCCCTGAAGTACCTAGGAATGACTTTAGCAGTATATCATTTTAAGTGCTCCATTAAAATTAGGAGGGAGCAAAGAGAAAGAGATGAGCAGGAAACCATTTAGGTGAACCAAAGCTAATTTACATTCTAATATTGTATTTTGTTTTATGTAAATTTCCACTGGATGAAGGTACCTGAATCATGTACAGGTTTACAAGGTATTTTCCTTATAATGATACTGTGTTTTCGGGAGTATAATAATGATGAAACTCAGAGAGAAGGTATGTGATTTGTACTGTCAGGTCATGACTGCCAGTAGTGATTTTGGGCTTCAGGTCTTTCGTGTTCAAGACCAGAGATATCCCACTACACTAAATTGCCCAGCCCTAATAAAAAGAACAAATTGTCTTCTCCAAATTGAGGATCCCTGAAGTAAAATATCCTTCCAGAAAGATGGAGTGCTTTAACAATGCAATCTTAATAAAAAAAAAAACAAATAAATCATGTTTTGAAAAAGAACCATCCCTTTACAGCAGAGAACTGAAGTTTTGCAGGGAGAGGAAAATGTTCTCAAGATACCAATGAAAATGATGCTCTGCTATACCTACTTACAAGGGAAGAGTCAAGTGACTACCATCCAAGTGTCGGAAGCTTAGCCTTTTGCTTCCCACAGGAGAGATAATCTTCTCAGTATACATTGTTTACAAGGGATTCAGGTGTTTGGGACCTGATTTAGTTCAGCAGTCCGAATTCTAGCATTCAAGGTTTATATTGGTGAGTACTGCAGAAGGTGAATTAGAGGATAATTATTCAGATTATTAAATAATTCTTTGAATAGAAAAAAAGATTCCCGTGTTTAACTATATTTACAGTGAATAATGGAAAGATGGTAGTCACTGACTTGTTATGTGACTGTGGACAATTCACTTTCCCTAGCTGGATCTTGGTTTTCTCCACAGTAACATAATTAAAGTTGTGTTGGATCAGATTCCAACATTCTCTGATAACTCCACAGAAACATAAAATGACTTCTTTCTACCACTAACTAAAGATAGCTTCTAGTGTGTCCTGGATCTAACGTGTCTACTTGTGTGATGAGCACATTACCTAACTTCTCTGGTAACTACTGTCTTCAACTGTCAAATGAGGAGTAGGTAACTTTAAGGTCTCTTCCATCTGTATATCTATGTTTGTATAATCCCAAGTAGATGTGATTAGATTCGCAAAAAAAAAAAAGTAATATACAACTTATTGGGAACACATCTCCCTCACAGTATAGTTATATTGTGGCCTAAATATTTTTAAGAATCATACCATTACCTCACAATTATGGCATTTTTAGTCCATGGAAGATTGACACTATGTATTAAGATACAATTCCTTTCTATTATATTTTGTTATTTAATGGATATTATAATCCAAAAAACCCCCAATGAAACACACTTTTGTTAATGTACCTACACATCCCTTTGGAATCCATGATGCATTGGCTATGTAGTCAAAAGATCCGAGTTAAGATCCTGGATCTTACATTTGATATGTGTAACTTGGAGAAAGTCATTTAACCTCTTTGTTTCTCAGTTTCCTCATGGTTGAGGATCTTAACATCCGTGCTACCTAATCAGGTCATGAAAAGGAAACTCTTTATAATCCTTAATGTATTATAGAAATATAAATTATTTTTGTCAAAGCAATGTTTTGTTGAAATCCAAATAAGGACAAGATTAATCAAATCCATTAAATTATCTATAATGAATGAGAACTAATACCTTCTATGAAAGCAACTAACATGCAGAAGTTGGCACAATCCTTCTTCAAAGTTAATAATTTTGTTAGCATATTTTTATTTCTCTTGTCATTTCTTATGGTGTAATAGTATTGCATTACATCCATATATCATGATTTGTTCAGAAATTACTGATCAATGGGAACCCATTTCCCCCCATATTTTTAAGCCTTTGCTTTGTAACAAGTCCTAGCATTGGCTAATGATTTGTGAAAAAACAAACAAACAAACAAAAACACTGAAGGAAGTTATTTTCAGAAATGTGGTCAAAGAAAGAGAAAGTCAGGAGAGTATTACAGTGTATCAGAATATTGAGAAGATTACCTCATACTCCTGGGAAAACTTCAGGTTGTCATTAGCTTTCAACCTTTCAATATGATCAGCAAGTTCCAAAATCGGTATGGGAGGATGGCTAGCCATGCCTATTAAAATGAAACAAAGGGATGTGTTTTGAAAACCCAATGTAAAGGCTGATAACTACCAAAATATAGAAAATACAATAGTTAGAAATGGCTAGAAATATGTAAGTAGTTAAGATGTTTTATGTGAGAAAGCAGGCAGATAGTTTGGTTACTCAAAGCAGGACATGCGCTGGAGAGATGAGTTTTGAAGCCAAATGAAAGGTCACCAAGCATGATCCCCAAGCTCACATTCCTGGTGTAAAAAAAAGCATTATTGTGCCATGAAGCAATGAGGTTAGCTAGGTGGGGAGAAATGAGACAGTTAGGCCTGATGCTGACTTCTGCTTTGAGTAATAACTTATTTCAAACTCCTTCTCCTGCACTATGTGAGATGGAAATTGCATGGAATTGAATGGTGAAAGGTGAACTTATAAAACAGACACTGAAGAAAGCCTAAAGGGAGACAGAATAGTATTTTAACAAAAGAAAAAAAATGAATTATGTATAATCAAGGAAAACTAACTTGGATGAAGGTTACCAGCGTAACCGGATACACCTGAACCTGCAAAGGAAATGATGGTGTGAATAAAACAAAACATAAGTAACTTTTTTTAATCAAAAATGAAATGGAGAAGGTGATACTTAAAAGGAGATAGTGATGATGATGATGATGATGATGACGTCCAGAGGTTTGGAGGTTTCAGTCTACATTTTGAATAGATTCTACAATGTTTGCACATCAATGTTTCAAGAAAGCTCAAGGTGACTGACATTCACATGCGACTATGGACAACGAGAGAAACATGCAGCACTATTCATAGACAAGAATTCACTGAAGACAAAAATTGGACACCAAACAATTAAGACTTTCAAAAATGTTTTCACTCGTAGCAGATTGTAGTGATAGGGGATAGGGAGTTCTCCTGGCCACACTAAGAGATTTATGGGCTTTGGCCCGAATGGCCATTACCAACCCCCAGGGATACCTACAATCTACTTCAGGTGTAAACATCTTTGTCTGCTCATAGGAAAACTAGTTGCAAGAAAGTGAGCAAATGAAGGCAGAAGGCACAGAGAAAGAAAGGCTGAGAGAGAAAGAAAAGACAGGGATACAGATGTGGGGCAACTAGTACAGGCTGCCAGCTGACAATATGCCAGTTTAATGGACTCTTTATTTAAAAAAGAAGATCCACAATTATATTTGATTATTCCCTCCACCCCCACATCCTTCTGTTAGAAGACCCCAAATGTTTTGTATTTTATTTCTTCCTGATTGCTTTTAGTATACACAGAATGGAATGGGACTGCTGACTCATCACTTATAGGGAGAAAGCACAGCTGGCTACAAAACTCCGAACTAGTGTACCCCAGCAAAGCCTTTGAGGTGACAAAAGGAAAAACAGGAATGAGTGAGGGGCTCAAACTGGAAGTCATGTTGACATTCTCCTATGTCACTGTGAATCTCTGGAAAGCATTATTTAATGGAATGTCCACCTGGTACACGTCAACATGACTGGGTGATTACTTTTGAACATATTAAAAGTTGTCTTACATTTTCATGTCACCCAATAGTGCCCTTATGAAAGGCTGTGATCAATTGCCTCTTACATTTTGGTTCTGATAGAATAAGTAGAATTACTTCCCTCCTACAACCATATATTACTTTATGGTGGGATTGTGAATTGTGGGGTTTCAGTATTAATGAATATGATGATATGTGGCCAGTCAACCAAGGACTAAGTGGAAGACCCAACCAAAGATGATGTTTTTTTGAATGTTGAAGCTTCCAAATTGATATTCACACCAACTAATAGACTTGGAGCCCCTTTCTGGAGGGTTCCCATTTGGATGGTATAGTTTAGTTATAGAAACATCACTAGATTTGGTGGTGTGACAGTGATACAATCTCATCCAGATAAAGCACCCCCAGTGGAAAGTATGAAAGTGAAAAGGCACAAAAGACTCTAGGCTTATTCAGGAATGGAAGTGGACTGATGAGGACATCCATAACAGTGCTTGAACAGAGAAAATAATAGAGACAAAGATGTTTAGACCTTTTCGAGCGAATCGTGGGAGAGAGTTATTATCATATAAGGACTGAGTGGTAGTTTGGCTAGAGAGGGAGGACACAGAGCCAATCAGGGAGGCGTAGGGGACTGAATTACTGCTCAAAGCTGTAAAAAGTAAAGCCAATTGGAGATGGGAAACAAATTAGTATAACAGTAGTAGAAGACCATAATAATTAATCAACTATGCGATCAATATATTCACTTCTGACATGCACTAAAAATGGTGTGACATCATTACTCTTAAGACAATGTTCAGAAAGGTTCAAGCATTCCCCTTTCCAAAGAAAGAGGATGGAAAAACAAACTGAGAGATCTATGCTTGATGCTTCACCAGGGAAGCCTGAATTGGGCCTAAACCCATATTTAAATTCAAACTACATCTATGGTATCATTCTTTACAAGTTTTTCCCCCCAAAATTTTACAGATCTAAATGAACATGTCAAAATTAGTAGAAATCATTAGAAAAAAAACAAGGTATACTTCTTTGCCTAACAGAGGGAATAATGTACTGGAAAGAATATTGGATTAAAAGATCTGGTCCTGACTGTGATTCTTAGTAGCACTCTGATATTGGGCAAATCACTCCCCTCTGCTCTCCTTCCTATGGATTGATTTTCCTCCTCTGCAAAATGCAAGGGCTGGAGTAAGTAGTCCATCTGTAGGACTATTTCACTTTGATCCAAAGTTCAGCCTTTACCATATACTAATAGGAGAAACAAGAGAGAAAAAGAACCATAGATACTGAACTGGAAGGCGCCTCTGAAATTTTGTAGTCCATCTCCTTTATTTTACCAAGGGGGAAACTTTAAATGACAAAAGGAAGTAATTTGCCAAGGAAATGGAGGCTAAGACAGGTTGTGATTTGCTCAAAGTCACACAACCACTTAGTATCAAAACTGACTGAACTTTGGATCAAAGTGTACTGTTATTTTTCCAATGGACTTAGGGCAGACTATTATGCAAAACGATTGAAACATACTAATAGGAGAAATAAGAGAGGCAAAGAACCACAGATACTGAGCTAAGACAGCAGGTTTCCAGACTCCCAAGTTCAATGTTCCTTCAATGTGGACTGCTTCTCACATAACTTGGTGCACCTCAAAGAACTTAGTTGAGACTATTTTTTTAAAAGGTGGCACAAACCAAATCTGCTCCTAAAACTGAAAGCCACATTGATGATATATTATTTCCTTCTTGATTTAAGTCAAATGACATGCCCCTTAACTTTTATACCTGAAAATGAAGAATCCCACCAGTACCAGTATTTTGACTAGATTCTAAGCGGAAAGGTTCTATAAACATGAGATATCAGCATAATTACTATTAAGCTTTGTACTCCTTTTATTTTGAACTAAAAGACAAGCTAGCATTCTCCATACAACCTAAGCACCATGTAAATTTCATATTTGTAAACATGGGCCTATTTGAGTCACTATATATTTTAGTTTTCTTCTATTCCAAAACATCTTTTAGTGACTTCTATAATTATTTTAATTGGCATTCACTAATAACAATTCCTTAGAATGCTGTCTCACTTTGGAAGTAAAGGTTTGTATCATAAATGCTTTTTTTAAAGTCATTCTATTTTAATTCAATTCAAGAAATATTTATTAGAGTGCCCACTATATGCATGGTTTGGTTCTGATCCTAGGACTGTCAAGGTTGGTTGTACATACAGCAGTAGTTTATTTACTAAGCAAACTTAATGGTGAACCCATTAAAACTGTAGATGTTAAATTATAATGAAGTTATATGAGACTTCTTAGATACTTCCTTCAATGGCATCCTTTATAAAGGCTTTTTTATCCTCAACTCTATCCCTGAAGGCCTTACTGATTTACCAACCTTGCTTACTGAGGTAATGATTCTAATCAAATATGATCTAGTAAAATATTTGAGGTAGCATGCTAAGTACTGAACTTGCTTTCGCTATATACCAATTATCGTAGACCTATTATTAATTGTAAATCATTATCTCAACAATCTCTCTGGTGAGAGACAGATTATTTCAAAGCAATAGATGCAATTTGGCAGACATACAGTCTACTTAGTGACATATGAGCCTTAATAAAACACGTGTCCCCTTTGATGGTAAGTACATAAGGGGAGAAGAGATGCCTGCTTTGAATGTAAACCATTGTGCTGTTCCTGTCATGTTGAATTTTGGAAAATGTGGCATTTGGTGCTTGGAGAAATACTTGTTCTAATAGCAACTGAAACACTTTATTGAGTTTTTAACTTGGCGTCTATCCACTTGCAATTGGAAAGTCATTATTAGCATTTTCACTACCAGAATAGCTCAATTATCACCCAAATAAGTGAAAAGGTTATGTAATAGTAATCCTTCTCTACACCACATACAATAACTAATTTCAAACAACCCTACTAGTGGCCAAGTCTATTCTCTACCCTTTTTCTTGGTTCTTGTACATGTTTGTTTAGAAGTCCAGTGATTTGGGATATTATATTGAAATACGCACTTCTGGAAAATGTTGGGATATTCAGCTTATGAATCATAGCAGCAGCCTTTATTCACATTATGTTTCTGTATGTGATATTCAAATTCATTTTTAACACAATTCAGGCAGCATTCAGAAATATGATTCCTTCCATGGCCAATCCCTTCATAGGAACAACAGCAACAAAAAAGATGAATGTCTTGCATTCACAAAATTACCATAGTTCAAATGAAATAAAATTTAGAGAAATTATCAAGGGCTTTCCAGTTCTTCTTAAGGGCATACATTATTTTTATTTTACTTTTCTCCATTATTTTTAGCAGTGATGTGTTGCACCTCATTATTCAAAATCGTCCACTAAAGTAGAACTCTGAAGTCTCTAATCTGTAAGAATCAATGTTCTTTGAGGTTAGAAGTCCTCAAATATTAATTATCTCCTTACTCTTAACATTAATAAACATGACAGAGTCGTGATAACATTTAGGGATTGGCATTTATGCAAACAAGGATTATGCATATTCAGTAAAACCTCATTAATTGAAATTCTAAGAATTTTATCTCCTAACAGCGTGTATTCAAGAACTTGATATCTCATGTTAACTATGTGGTACACATGAAGGATAAGCTTATTTTTGTCTGCAAAGAGCTAATTGTTTACCCTTAAGATAAGTGAAGCAACAATGGCAGCACATTCATTCTCTCTCTCTCTCTCTCTCTCTCTCTCTCTCTCTCTCTCTCTCTCTCTCTCTCTCTCTCTCTCCCTCTCTCTTTCTTTCAGTCTCCTCACTGTTCCACCCCCTCCCCTGCCCTGCTTCTCTCCCTTTTTCTCTGCCCCAGGCAATAGAGATCTCACTCTAAATGGAACACATCCAAGGCAGAATATATTGTAATCAATACTTAAGGGTAGTAAGTCAAGTGATATGGCCAAAGGATTCTGGGGTAGGGGTGGAGGGCTTATTCAGGAAGAATAAGAAATGGCAGAGGGTTATGGATCCCTTACTAAGTGCACAGAACAAATGGGAGAGAGGCTAGGAATCTGTATCCAAGTAGAATGAAAAGGAAGATCCAAATAATATCTATATCAGCAAATGTTCCTGGAGTAAACTTTAAGGATACTGTCGTCTTTCTGCCTTTTTTCCCTCCCTCCTTTGCACAGTTTACTCTTAGTTACAACCACAGATGACACTTTAAAAGTACATCCCATCTTTGCTGAGAAAAGCTGCCCATTTTTTTCCTACTTTATAAAGGATAATCCAATTTATTACCAATTCACATTCACATTTCATGTTAAGTCTGTAATTTTCCCTTTGAGAAATAGGAGAAACATTCCCACATCAACTAGCAATGCTCAACTGCCAATGGCTTCCTTAGAATTTGGTTGTTTTTGGCAAACCACATGAGGGGAATGCCAGAAGGAAGAAGAGCATCCTAAGTAAAGGTACTTCTTGGTTCAAGTTTTGAATTTTTTTAAGCTGATTTGTAATGTTGCTCTGCTAACCACCCTCGCTGTGGGCTTCTCATTTTATTCATCTGAACTGGTACTGCTTCTCTCATCCTCTGCTACTAACTAGCTCTTTTCCCTTACATTCTGAGCTTTGATCAAACCTTCTTCTCTTGCTTTCGTTTTGCACCAGATAAGTACAATGATCAGGGGAATTAGAGTACCAGGAAGCCTCCAAAAGAAAGGCAGAGAGAAGTTATCTTTCAAATATACTTCATTTATTTCTGTGTCACTCCATGCTAGTCTTAAAGAACGAATAGACAGTCCTTGAAGAGTTCACCTCTCCCCCAACAAACCAGATGATTACATTAAATTTCAAAGTTTATAACTGTTAGAAGTAACCAAACTGAGAAGCATACCAAGTTCTGTTAAAATTACTAGGGAAATGCTTGAAGTATTCTGTACTTTCCATACTTTAACATGAAACATTTTTTATGATAATGAGCTAAAACTTGCCAATTCTGCATTGATATAATCATGCTTTGTATTTATCAACCTTTTGAAAAAATCATGTGACCTCATAAAGAATATTTTAGGAACATAAACATCCTCTTTCCTTTACTAAATTGATGAGGGTTTGTGGTATATATGTATATATGTACATGAAAGTATATAAGGTATATGTTTATATATGTATTATTTTCTCAATAACTTCAAAACTAGATTTCTAATCTACCTAACCAGAATGAATTTTTTAAAATTTTGATCATTCATTGGTTGTTCAAAAGAAATTAAGAGCATTAATAACATCTCTCCAAGATGATAACTTATTGGAATGACTAATTGGTTCCTTAATACAACATTATAAAGTGTTTTCAAAATTTCATTTCAATAAATAATTGTTTTAATTTTCAATATTCATCTTGTGAAAAAAGTAAAATTCTAAGTGGGAGAACTCATGTCTTTTTAAAATTCCAGGTGATTTGAGTCTATCTGCTTTAATAAATGTGGGTCAGAATTAGATTTGAGGCTTCATACAGCTTTTACATTCTGAACATGAGCAATTTCCCAATGATTTAAGTTATAAGACTATAATAAAAATTTAACTCAATACAATACTTGAATCACATGTTTGCCTTGTTTATTATCAGAAGATATAAAACTAGTGCCACTCATTTTATTGAGGCTTCCCTCTCTTCCCCTTCTGTGCCTGGCATTCAATAATTCTTTTTTAAGAAACCAGATGTCTTGGATAACAGAGAAAGACAGAGCTCAAAGATAGATCACTACGTCTCCAAACTATTCCTTTGTGGCAAAATAGCTTTCATCTGTTGGAGCACTTTAATGCTCTTTGTTTTAAGGGGCAAGGATATTTTTTCATTGCCAAAGCAAAGTGCTAAGAAATTTTCATTGGTCAATGAGGTTTGGTTTAGGGAATATGAAAAACAAAGGGAAAGAATGTGTGGGGTTTGGAAATCTATGCTTTCCTAAAATTTCTAAATGATGTATTCAGTCATTCTACATGATGAGACATATACTTCCTTATAGATCAGTGTCACTGTTAACGTTGGTACTATTTAACATACATTATGCTCTATCAATGCAGCAGGTGTCGTCCTTCAAAACAAAAAAATGAGAAATACCCTACACTCTGAGTAAGGAACAAGGAATGTAATTTCTGTCAGACCTACAATAGTGGAAATCTCATCAATATTCACATCCGGGAATTGGCCACAAGGCAATGATTCAGGGCAGCAATCAATTTGTGTCTAGAGGCACACTGCTCCCTGAATTCTAAAAGCTTCCAGGGAGACAGAGCTGTAAGAAAGATAAGTGGTCCTTCTTACCTGGTGTTTGAAAATTGAGGCGCCTTAGCTCGACTGGGTCAGTTGGATGATGAGAAGGAACCTCTTTACTGTTTGGTATACTGCTTTTTCTAGAGTCAGATTCTGCCCTCTTCCTGTATGGATAAAACGAATGTTAAAAATAACATTTTTTTAAAGGACTTAGATAAATGGAAAAAAATTGAAACCCCAACATTTCTCTTCTTTGTAACAGTTTCTCACTAACTACCTGTGTTGCTATGGGCAAGTCACTTTATATTTCCTAATATGTTTCTCACTTGTGAAAAACCAAACAAATAAAAATCTTTATATGACCTCTAAAGTCCTTTCAGCTCAAGAATTCAATGATCCAACCAATCTTCCCTTTAAGACAGGTATGTGGGGTGGGTGGTGGGGCGTGTGTACATATGTTATATACTCATAGCTAGGATAGGAGGGAAGGAGTTACTCCATATGCTCCCATCATTCTTTCTCAAATTGTTTTCCCAAAATCTAGTCAGAAGAAACACTATCTAAGCATCTTGTAGTATAAGCTGTATAGGAGCAGAGCTGTAAGATTCCTCCACCTTTCTAAGTACCAGGCAAAGTAGTGATTGGGTAAGGCTACAACTATCAATGTCTTTGTCATTTTTGTTTAAGAGTGTGTAATGGGGCACATAGTGGTGATGTACCTGTATTGTTGACATTAGGACAGTCAAATACATTTAGTGGATTCTCATAATGGCTGACTTCATCTACTGTGGAAGAGTTGGGTCCACAGAATACCGATGCCTACTATGCCTCTGATCTTGAGGGATAAATTGCTTGTGTGGTTTATGATGGTAAAGCTAACTGCAATTTATATCCTTAAAGAAACTCAGTCATGGAAATGTCAAAGAAAAAGTAATTTCTTTGAGTGGCCATCTGATCCTCTGTATGATAATTCAAGGCAAAAGACTCATTAACAGTGCCTAGTTATAAATGTCAGTTTTCAGACAACCCATTTTATCTCTGTTTTAAAAGCGACTCACTGCTTTTATTAAACATCCTTGTTTAAGCTGTCATAATGCAATTTTAACAAATGCATGAACAAGATTTGTCAGATTTGATTCTAAGTCTACTTTATTCATTGTCCCTGTTCCCCAACTCAAATAAACATAGTGATATCTATTTTTTTTCTCTCTCCAAGGTTGCAGTGGATCAAAAGTATAGCCTGGCAATTAAATACTTCCTTTTCCTCCTAACCCCACCCTCAACAGTGGTTTTCCTCTGATGCTGACAACCTGGCACAGCTCCAGGAATCTCAGTTGGAAGAGTTATGCTCAGAGTATTGCATTATTAATTGCTGCACATAGCAAAGGTACTATAGAATTGGGAACCAGACATTCAGGGTCTTCTAGGAATGCTTGTCCTGACTTTTAGAATATGGACTTTAAAGCATGGTTACTGCTATGACAATAAGATGCTATTCTTTGATGACATGTAGAGTCATTCTCTGGTCACACTCATTGATGGCTATGGTCAAAGGGCTTCTTTGTTTTCAGTTGTACTTATTTTCCTTGCATATAGGAGGTCCGGAGGATGAAGAGAGGTGAAGGCACAAAGGAAACGTGGACTTCCATTGGTTTGCTCAAATGCATTGTTTTGAAGACTATCCCAAATCTGCCTCATTTTTGTGAGTGGGTCTATTCAGATACCCACTATTGCCTACTTAATCACTTTTACTGACTTGTGTTGAGACAGAAGTGTTAAGGACAGTCTTAGGAGCCAGATCCATTTGGGAAATGACAGGACTAATCAGAAAAGAAGTAAAGTTGGTGAAATAACAGAAGCTACTAGTAACTTTATTTGCTAAGGGGATTGAAGGGAGCTTAGAAAGGGCAAGTTAGACAGAAAAGGATGAGAAAAAGGAAAAGGAAATGAGAAGGTGGGAAAGGACACAACAGAGAGAAGGAAAAGATGATTCACTTCAGGCTTTGAAATTTAATCAGATCCTATAACATGGGAATGTATTTGATGACATTCAAACAACTAGAGAAATCTAAGAGTATTTTACAGACAAGAAGTTGAAACCAAATAACATTAATAAAAGTAAGAAGTATCATGGTATGGCGACAAAACCACAAGATCTGGGGTCAAATCTCAGCTCTGTTAGGAGCTAACTGGGAGACCTTAGGCAAATCGCTTAATTTCTCTTGGCTTCATTCTCCTTATCTGTAAAATACATAGTTAGATTGGATGAACTTTTACGTCCCTTTCAGTTCTGATTGTCTGTGATTCTGTCACTGATGGGTCCTTCAGTTTCACTAGCAAAATATGCAAATTTGCTACAAGTTTGTAGGAAGTATACTGTTGCACCTTTAAATTGATTTGTTTCAAAATAAATTGCCCTCCCCCTTCTTTGCTGGAATCAGGACTCTAACATGACACCAAACTTAGAGAACTTCTTATCATCTTCATTTTTAAACACTCAAAAGAAATAATATTATTCTCCTGAACTCTGGAGGGGCCAACAACCTCTCCTGTTGTTAATGTAAACTACTTATGGTGGATTTCCAGTAGCAGTGTAAATTATCTCTGACCAAGTAGTCAGGGAAAATCAGCCCTTCATAGCAATTCTAAACATAGTCAACTCACTGGAGCATGAATGCAACTTTTCAGTTCCACACTCCATAATTTTTTATCCTGTTATGTAGAATCTAATCTAATTCTAACTCCTCAGGTAAAAGTGAATCCTCTAAAAGAACCCTTAAATGCCATATGATCCAATCAGTTGTTAGAGTCTTCCCCTTCCCATCCAGGTATTGCTTTTGTTTTGCTCTGCTGTGTGGAATGCGTTGTATTTACTTACTGGTGTACACATTTTTTTTTTACATAATGGAATGTAAGCTCCTTGTGACCAATTGGTACCTTAGATGTTTTCTATATATTAATCCAAGTCAATCAGAATAGTTCTACACATTCTTACCCCATTACTCTTAAGCACATGGGTGCTATAATAAAGACTCATTTAAGAGTAACAATAATAATAACTGATATTTATATGGCGCTTTAAAGTTTGCAAAGCACTGCAGATAGCATACCTCAACGGAGATATTTTGTGCATCTCTTTTTTGTATAAGCAAAAACACTTTGTGTTTTTTTAATGTAAAATTGATTTTTGTGAGAGATTAGGAAGATTCTAAGGTTATATTGATATAATTTATCATTTGTAATGATGGCAATAATTTAATACAGCTACAGACTTTTGAAATGGAATTTGTTGCTCTTTAAAGCATAAAACAGAACAAAAAAGAATAAAATAGAAATAATGTGGACATGAAGAGAAAAACCTTTTTGGATAGCTTTCAGAGACTACTTCATTCTCAAACTCCATTATGAAAAAAAATCAAAGTACGGTAATTTTTAAAATGGGATTTTTATCTGATGCCTCAGAGTTTTGCACAAACAATACAATAACTGTACAAAGAGTTTGCATCCTGGTAGAATAGAGACCATGTTGTTGAGTGGAAAGAACAGCAGACTTGGAGGTTGAAGAACTAAGTTTGAGTCTTGTTTCTACTGCTAACTTCCTGGGACCATGTGCAAGTTTCTTTCTCATATAAGTTGTCATATTTCTTTCTCATTAATGAAATGAGGTTAACAAACATTTACAATACGTATTTCACTGTTGTTGAATAAAGCACTTTGTAAACCATAATACACTACAGAAATATGAATCGATAAATGTGCACATGCATGTACATGTTCTTTCTTGGGGAGTATCCCTGTGTGATGTACCTCTAAGTATGACATTTTGGGAGAGCAGGAAAGGGAGGCTCATTTTACCTTTTTTCAGCTATTTCTGCTGGTGTTAAATTATGTCATGGTTCCAAGCTTAGAATAATAATTAGATTAGTTAATACAATAATTAGATTAGATTAGTTAATAATAACTAATAATAATTAGTTAGAAGTTCTAGTCCAAAGTCCTGCTACATATAGCTATTTAAGCTTAGAGAATTCCCTTGGTCTACTAAGCCTCAGTTTCCTGATCTAAAAAATGGTAGACTTGGAACAGGTTATCTTTAAGTTCTCCTCCATGCAAAAGCAAAGTGAGAAAACTATGGCCAGGTATTACACGGCAGCTAGGTGGCACAGTGGATAATGCACCAGGCCTGAAGTCAGGAAGGCTCATCTTAACTGAGTTCAAATGTGGCCTCAGACACTTACTGGCTCTGTGACCTTGGACAAGTCACTAAACCCTGTTTGCCTCAGTTTCCTCATCTGTAAAATGAACTGGAGAAGGAAATGGCAAACCACTTCAGTATGTTTGACAAGAAAATCCCAAACGGGGTCATGAAGAGTAGGACATGACTGAAAATGACCAAACAACAATATTTGTGAACCTTTGGCCCAATGAGTCACTGACAAAAAGAATAACCTGTTATTTCCAAAAGCAACAATGAAAGTTATATCTCTGAGAACATAAGAAGGGTTCATCATCCTTGGGTATCTAACTGAAAATTTCCTTCATTAGAGTGAATTTTAACAATTAGAACCATATAACATGTAAAAGACTACTTTTGTGACAGGCAGCTGTAATACAGAGGAAATGCTATGGAATTTATAGTCAATGGATATGAGATAATATACTGACACTTTCACTAACTGTGTAATTGTACAAGCTGCCCACCCTTCTGAATTTCCCTTTCTACCTGTATAAAATGAGAGAGCCAGGAGAAAAGACCTTGGAGGACCCTTCTGGTTCTGGTGCTAGTAATCTATCCATCACTGTACGTATTGAAGGGGGAAAAAAACTTAACTACATTTTGGGGATGCCAAAGAGGGCATTTCTTATATGAAATTCCTACTCCTTTGCTTTTGTCTAGTATTGAGATGATCCTCAGTTCTCAAAAATTATGGAAGAAGAGACTGAGTTTTTCAAAGCTCTCCCAAACTGCAAAGACTTCATGTGTGGTCTGAGAAAAAGAACATTTGTCATCTTTGGCTGAGTTTAAGTAGGTTGGAGGCTCATCATCACAATGGTGGCCACCAGGTGTTTACCAAATCTTTCTGGTCACAACAATTCATAATTACCTCCTATGCATGAAAAGGTTGCATCAGTGGTGAGAGGATGCACACCAAACAAATAACTGATCAAAGCATAGGGGACATGCATTTACTACATAAAAGTCTGAATTAGATGCCATCTATGATCTCTTCCAACTCAAAAATCTTATTATTCTTTGTTCAATGTCAAACTGTGCATGACAACAATCCAACAAGTTTTGGATTGAAAAGTAGTAGGCATGATTGGGGCAGTGCATTTTAAAAAGTTGGTGGGTTCTTATATTCCAGGCATCTCAAGATTATATACAATTGGAGTAATAGCACTGAGTAGCAGGACAGAATCAAGCTTTAGGAGGATAAAAAACATAAGACTATTCTAATATTCATAGGTGACCTAATTCAGGATTTTGAGCCTGGTCTTCAGTAGAAAAAAGAACTATGTAATAGACTACGTTTCCATCTTAAAGAAACTTTTAAGCACACACAAATGCTCCTTATTGCCTGACTAATGAACAGTCATGAAATAACTTCTGTCATCCTGAAGGAGAAGAAAGGAAAAAAGGCAGTTTCTTCCTCTTACATTGTGAGAATAAAACACTCCAATTCCTTCCTATTTGCTTAACTCTCTCATATTAGAAGCAATTTGCAAAACTTAAAGCGTCATATAAAAGCTAGCAATTATATTAGAAGCTTTTCAAAGTATATGAGATTTGATGTGAATCTGCCCATGGTCCTCTGGTCTGACATTATCTTTGAAGTTATCACCATCATCATTGTCACCCATCATGCCAGGCTACTACTTTTCCTTTTCCTCTTCCTCTTTCTTACTGGAAGTAAATGGAATTCGTTCTTTACTTCTCACCTGTCAGGTTTACTGCTCCATTTTAATGCAGCAAGGAGGAGAAAAAAAGGCTAAATGTTAGTTGGCCAATGGCAAAAGGAGTAACCATGACAACCAGAGATCCAAGAAATGGTATTCTATAGTGAGGACATGCAACTTACACAAATTAGCAAATGACAGCTTATAAAAACATTGAATGCTTTCTAATCATGGAATAAATGGAGGACACAAGGTTATGTTCAAATGAGAGTCTTTTGCTGTTGAAGAAAACATTTTTGTATTAATGTCACACTCTCTTTTGGCCGTCACCTAAAAAATAATGCCACAATCAATTATATCCCAGGAGGTGGCTGATGTTAGATATATAATTTGATTTTTACTAAATGTGCTACGTGCTGGGGAAAAAAAGACTTAATGTATCTAATGTGGATATAGTAAAGTCTCATGTAACAGATTTGTGCATAAAAAATGAAAATATCTTAGTTAAGTGGATACATTATTTCTTTAGTGATATCAACTTCATAGAAGTTGAATTAAACTATAGGAAAAGTTTGCACAATGATACTACATCTACTAAGTCGTAACGTAGCAGAAATGATTTCTTCAAATACCTCTAGACAAGTCAGGTAATCATAAATCTTTTTCTAATAAAGGATTAAATACATTTTTCACTTCTGTAAAGTATAACATACATCATTATAAATCTATGATGCATGACCATCTATATAGCTGGGCTAATGGAGAAAAGCATTTTAATTCTAGCAACTGACAGGACAGATATATTCTTAGTTCATGACATGCTGCCATGTGTGTCCATTTATTTCTTATTTGTAAAACCTCCACCTCTATTAACATGTCAGTCAACTCATATTTATTAAGCACTTACCACGTACCAGACACTGTGCTAAGTGTAGTAGTTTAAACTGCCTATAGCTTTGTACAGTGAAGAAAGGCTTGTTATGAAGGGGAATTAATCTGTGTAGTCCCATCTTGGAGGCACATTTTATGTACTATATGCTTTTTTCATTTAGCATACTAAGGAATGGAGTCAAAGTCAACAGAAACAGAAATGCATGCTTCAAGTGATTATATGGCCCCAAATTGTGATCAGGTCAATGGGTTTGGCAAAGTTCCAGTATTTCAGTTAAATTTATGCTTATTTCCTTATGGTAAACATGTAGACATACAAACTGAATAACGAAAGTAACATATCTACAATAGCTATTAAAACATTCTTATCCTCAGATTTTCGAAGAGCTGTCCACTGCAGGAGAGCATCTCTACTTACAACTCCAAGAGCAGCATGCAATTGCATACATGCCTACAAAAGAGTTTTAAACATGCTCTCATAGATCAATGAGAAAAGTCAACTGGCCACTTGTGAAGGCCAATCAATTCCTTCTGGATAGTGGAATAGCATTAATGGATTATCTTTTCCAGAGTCCCAAAATAATATTTGAGTCTACCTAAGAATCAGTACATCTAAAAAAGTGATTTGTTCTTTCTCTCTTCTTTGGAGATCAGGCTCATTATGTTTGCTTTGTGCCCATATTTAGTACATCTAGCAACACTTGCCTGAGGAAGCTTTATAAGAATTTAAGTTTATGAATGACATGAAAGTAAACTCTATGTATGGGGCCAACATTATGGCAATATACCAGTCAGACAAAATCAAGGTTCTATGTGAAGGATTTAATAAGAAAGTTTTACTGTGTAAACTTAACATTTATATAGCATTTCCCTCTAAGGATCTCAAAACACTAAGAACAAAAAATAGTTATTTCTAGAAGGTGGGTAGGGGGTGTGTTATCAATCGATTTAATGAACAAAAAGAAGTCATAATTTCCCCATCGTCACAAACAGTGCTGGAGTTGGGAAAATATTCAAAGAATTCAAATCTGTAATCCTATTAACTTATCTCTCCTGTTTTTTTTAATTATACATAAAGTATTAGAATAGGAATGAGCATTATTTATCCTAAAATTATGATTACTACTATTTTTTTCTCACTATTCAGAGGTTTCAATTATAAATCAATGTCCAAGGTATGGATTGTTCTTTTTACTGTTTTTCCCTTTTCTCCATTTTTCATCGCTATCTATTCTCTTTTCTCACATTAATTATGTCTCAACCATTGTGGAATAACATTTTATTGGATTGGAGGAGTTGAGTCTTATAATTGTGATTATACATAGATATAATATGCATACTCACATCAAATTTTTCCTTCATGGCTAAAGGTTTTTCTTCTTTTCTGCTTGTAATATTTGTGGTTTGAAACTGAAATTCTGCAGTTTAACCACAATGTTGCTTAATGATTTTGTGCTATGTCCATGTACTATATCCCTTACTTAGTACCTTTCTACAGCAAAGATGTGCCAGTGAATGACTTGAGAAAGTGATGAGATAAGGTGTAAGACAAAACAATTTAAAACTCACTTCTTGTTGGTAGTGGGTCAGCAGCAGCATCTTTGTAAGAGAACAGTACTCAGAGAAATAAAAACTGCAAATCATTTCCAATGATCCATGTAATGAAGTGAGTGACAACTGACAAAAGCAGCCATGACTTTTGAAAGAATGTATTTGGCTGAGAATGTAGTCATTAAAAAGCATCACTGATGGGATTCAGCCAAATTTCTCCTGCACTGCTCCATGATAATGACCCCAAGGGGCCTCATTATACCTACTTGAATTTCAAGTCAGTAATTTCAAATCAAATCTTTATTGCTGAGACAAGTATTTCTACTTCAGAAATACTTTGTAAGCCACCAGTTAAATGCATTTTCAGTTAGGGTTTGTGTGTTTCAGTGTGCACACTGTAATGTCTGCATTTCAGCATAGCCTCTCATTCATATAGTGCAAATACACCTCTATGTTTTAATATGTAGATACTTCAAAACAAACATAAAAATAAGTCATCCTTAGAAGGATTTTCTTAGCACTAGGTCAAAGTACCCTTGGAACTTTCCTCCCAGGAATATATACTCTCTTTTTTTTCCTTTGAGGGAAAGTCTTTTACATCTAAAGTTAACAATGTTCCATGAATGAATGAATCAGCCTAGTAGAACTGGGAGAGATTAAACACTACTAGTCTCACCATCTGCTAATGAATTTGTCTGGGTCTACCCCAGAAAAACATCTACTAAGAAATTTTGCTGTGCTCTATCCACCTGAGAAATCATGACGACTTGAAGAAGAATGTCTTGGGTGTAGAGTCAGAAGAGCTGGTTTTGAATCCCAGCTCTAACTCTCAGTAGTTTTGTGACCATGGCTAAGTAGCAATCTCTCTGAGCCTCAGCATTGACACCCACAAAATAAAGGTTTTACTATAGGTTTACTAAAGGTTTACCCACCTCTCAAGGGGTGTTACGAGGAAAATGCTGTATAAACTACATAGTGTAATAAATCTATAAATTATCATTAACAATATTGAAGGAAACCATCATATTTAGAGAAAAATGTTCTATTTGTTTCAGATAGACTAAAATTTGGCCTGCCGTATATACTGGGAATTTAACTGTCAGCAAGCGCTGACTCAGATTACTAAGGAGTTGGATGTGGTCACTTAAATTAAAATAACCCATAAGAGGAATTATAAATCTGATTTTTTTTATTAAACTCTCATTCAATAATTAGTGTTGTATAAACATAAGAAAGGTCACAAAATTCTTATTTGGAAAAGTTTGGCCAGTTCTCAAGTATCATTCATGGCCTCAGCTACACCCTTTGGCCTTGCTTTCTTCTCCACCTCACTATTTGTCTTGGGGATATTTCCATGTTTGTTTATTATCCCACATAGCAGAAGTGTCAGTAGGATAGAAAGCAGGCATTACATGAAAACTGGCCAGTAATGGCCCTTAATAGACACACCAGGAAAGGATCTGAGCAAGGGAAACCTTTGAAACCATTGATTAGAGTGGGGTTCCTTCATTCACTCATTCCTTTTCCAAAGCTTTCTATGCCCCAAATGATCTGGTGTTGGCAGTAAAACATAAACCAAAGAAATACAGTCAAGCATTAGTGAGATAACAAGACCATATGACGAATGACAATGGCGAACTTTTTTACTTAATTTCCCCCCCCATCTTCTCACATTTGAGAGAAATTGAGGAAGTATCTTCAGGAGAAAGGGTAGTTTTCATGAAGAAAAGAAACAATCGGGGAGAACAAAAAGGGTGAGACTGTTTCAGGAACATGGTTAACACCACAAATGAACATTTACAAAACAGAGTAGGGAGAAACATATGTTGAACAAATGAATGGAGGGAATGCATGAGGAGGAGAAAGAAGCAATGAAAAAGAAGGGCAAGAGAAGAGTAGGGGGAAGGTCAATGTCAAGAGGTTTAAATCTGTTTTAGAAGGGCTGGATGGAAGAAGAGAGATGAAATACTTTATGGTGGTGAAAAAAGCTTGTTTTGGCAGGCAAATCCAGAATGGATGGGCCTTCGCCGAAAAGAGAGGTGGATAAAAGCCCAGGTGTTTAAAGTGATCCAAGAGTAAAAAAGATTAATGTGAAGAATCTGTGATGGATTGAGAGAATGAATAAACTAGAGTTTCTCTAAAGGATGACACTACAGGATTTAGTGGCATTCAAGAGGTTATAGAGTAGATACAAAGTCTGGAAGCAGGTGGGAGGAATATAATGGAGTTAACAGTAGAGTTGGAAGATACTACAGAGTTACAGAGAAAAAAAAATGATGACCTTCTCTACCAAACTGACTCTTACCAGGCAGTAGAGTGGAAAAGGTATCCAGAAATAGATGATATAAAAGCAGAAAATGAAAAAAATTGTAAAAAGAAAAGCAAAAATCAGTGATGATAAGCCAAATAGGCAATTACCTTCATAGGAAGTTGAGACCATGAAATACTCTTAGGATATTGAAGGAAAAGAAGCTTAATGACAGAAAAAAAAAAGGAAAATGCTTCTCCTACTCATGGAGAACATAAGATAAATGATAAGAAGCAAGTTGTGAAGGGTTATACATAAAATAGAAAGGTCAGAAAAATGTTGGAAAAGTTAGGGTTCATTTTTGTTTTCCTATTTGAACCCAAGCTTTTCCATTCTTTTCATCTTAAAATATTCATACAGGGGGAAAATGTCAATGCTTGTAATGCCTACAGAACATACAGCACAAGATAGCAGTTATATTTTATAAAGAGATTGGAAATGGAGTGTAAAATTAGGCAAGTCATATAAAATGCATATTTGCCCTTATAATTAGGCATTATTTGATAATGCTGCCCAGAAGTGGTAAGCATAAATACATGAGACAGGAAAAGAAAGCAGAATGTCAATTGGGCATGATGAACAATAAACTAGTTTGTGATTCCTCTGGGGGGTAAACACCCCATGAATGTAAATGTAATAAAGTCAGCTGAAAATAGGAACTATATAAGATTCTGTATAGAATAGTCTATATTTTTCCTGTTATATATACATTAGTACATCAAATACTTCTAGAGGTTTTCTGAAAATATTTCTATTAATGTAAATCAAACAATGAGGATACAACAGTTATCAAGGAATCATAAGTATTCTTCATGTCCTATATCTCCCCACCAAGGAATATCATGTCAATAGAATTATGAGGCAAGCCTACCTTTTGTAGAGAAGGATAGCTATGACAATGCAAATGATAAACACAACTGCAAGCACAGGCCCTACAACCCAGATCAATCCTTCTTCTTCATCTGTCATGGGCTGGGGATCGAGGTCCATTGATACGACAGGATCTGAGTAAGGGCTGGTTGCATACATGGTCTGAGGAAAAAGAGTTTGTTTTGTTAGAAAAGTAGGGTCAAAAAGAGCTTGTATGACAGTAAAGGAGAAGACAAGGTAAAGCTGGAAATTAGTGGACAAGTAATGCTATTTCCCTTGTATAATTAATTGTGCTCATTTTGCAATTCCCAAAAAGTGGCCCCATGGGGAAAAAAAAGTCATTTACAATATAATTTGTTGTACTGATTTGTTCTAGAATCAATAATGTGTGATATCTTCTAAAACTCTTAAGTACCAGTCATTAATGAATCAATAAGTATTTATTAAACATCTACTGTGAGCTAGAAGACAGTAGGATATTTTGTGTCAAGGACATTAAGCTTACAGAAGACCTGGGGTTATTTTCCAACTCTATGTTTTACTAGTTTTATGATTTCAGACAACTCAGTTGACATTTCTAAGCCTTAATTTCTTTGGCTATGAAATAGGTTTCTAACAGCATGTTCATTAACAATAGCCCAGGATCAGATGACCACCTAAAGTACCACATAAAAAAGCAAGGTATTATGATGTGCCAAACACTGAATTCTTGTCCTTCAAAGACTGTTCAACTTAGAGAGAAGATAAATACCAGTAAAATGAGGAGAGAAGAGTTAGGATGGCAGATAATGTAGTTATTTTGATCATGTAAATGATACCAATATTTCATAAAACAAGAAAGTGGGGCTTATCCATGCTAACTAATGTCCACAGCTGTGGCATAAGCCAAAACAAGATTTAGACTTGTCATATTTATTCATCAGATATCTGCTTGTTTATGCTGACTGATAATTTCTTCCTATGTTGCCTCTTACCCAGGGTTATGTGAAAGGAGCACATAAAACTGAAAAAGACCAGCTGGCTGAATGGAGTAGATAAAGAGGGTTGGTAGAAGATTAAGATGAATGGATATTAGACAGAAGTAGAACCAATGGCCTCAGCTGATTATGTCAGGAAATCAGATTTATGTCTTTGCTGCAAGTCAATGCTGAGTTAGATGGTGCAATGGATAAAGCTCCAGCCTTGGGGTCAGGAAGACCTGAGTTCAAATCCAGCCTCAGACACTTGACACTAGCTGTGTGTCCCTGAGCAAGTCACTTAACTCCACTGCCTAGCCCCCCCAAAAAACAAAAAAACCACGATCACCTCACCAAAAAAAGCCCCCCAATAAAAAAGGAGCTAGGTGAGACCCAAGTACAGATATACAATGAATACTATATGAAGGGTAATAGAGAAGGGCTCGTGATAGGGTAGGGCTATATAGAATAGAAAGTTCAAGAAGAAAGGTGCTCTAAGGGATGAGAGTAAGCTTTTCATTCAGTTGTCTACAAAGACAAAACAGGCTCTTGCTCACTGCCTGGTATTGATAATAATAGCTAACACTTAAATACCACCTAGTATGTGCCAGCTAGTGTGCTAAGCACTTTATAATTATTATCTCATTTAGTCCTCACAATAGCTCTGAGAGGCAGATGCTATTATTATCCCCATTTTACAGATGAGGAAACTAAGGCACATTGAGGTTAAGTGACTTGGCCAGGGTCACACAGCATTAAGTGTCTAAGGCCACATTTGAATTTGGGTCTTCCTGATTCTAGACCATGCCCAACCTAGCTATCTCAAGTGCCCCAAGATGAATTATACTCTTTAGTCAAGATTGACTGTGTGTCTAGGAAAAGGCTTAGCTAGCCCTTCAATTACATGGAAAGGAGAACTAGGCTATTTTTCTAACCTTTTAAGAACAGTGGATTAGAGAATCTGAGCTAAAAGGGACTATGGAGGTCATCTGTTTCAACTCTCTAATTTTACAGAAGAGAAACTGAGGTTCAAAGAAGTTACATTTGTCTTGTCCATTATTATAGAGGGTGCCAGTGACAGAGGATTTGAACAGAGGGTCTGATTCTATGAAGCCCAGGGATCTTTCCAGCCCAATTTCTGAGACACTACTCCAAATAGGATCCTTGGATCCTAGAGCAGAGATCTGAGGGGTAGAGGAGACGTTCCAGGCTATTTAGTCCAATTCCTTCACTTTACAGAGGATGAAGTGTGGTGCAAGGATGGGAGTGGATGCCTGTGGTCCCAAAAGAACTATTTGGGGACAGGCAATTCAAAGTCACATCATATGATCAGAGAACTTAGAAGGGATTGAGGCCTCAGAAGGGATGCATCCAAATCCTTCATTTTACAGATGTGGAAGCTGAAGACCAAAGAAGTCAAGTGGCTGATCCACAGTCATATAAGGATTCTACGGAATGGTGGGTTTTTGTGTTAAACTCTCTGTCACTCTCAGTCTTGAAGAACAGAATTTAGCACATAGAATTCTGTTGGATGAGATCTTTACAGGAACTCTAAGCACAATTCTCCATATTTGGGTTTTATATAAAAACCAAATCAAGAAAGGCTTGTGGAAATTAAAAACAAAATAAAATTTTTACACAACTTTTTTTTTTGGCTAGGCAATGGGGTTAAAAGTGATTTACCCAGGGTCACACAGTTAGTAAGTGTCAAGTGTCTGAGGCCAGATTTGAACTCAGGTCCTCCTGACTCTAGGGCTGGTGCTCTATCCACCTCACCCCATTCGGCTCCCCCCAACTTTTTTCCAATCCTCTGTTCTTCATACCTTAACCTTCTGATATTCTCGACAATCTTTACATTTTCTGATTAAACATTGCTGGGGTGGGAGTGGAGGGTTGATTTCCTCATTTTTTTTTGTTTGCTGCTTTCATTTTTTGCAGGTAATTAACTCGTTTATCTATAGAGATGCTAAGTACTTTATTCAATCAATACTCAGAAAGCACTTTGGGAAGACCAAAAGCCTGTGTGAGTACTGAATACCATTGCTCAATTGAACACCTACTTGTCAGAGACAAGACCTCTCAGCTAACAATTTTCCTACACTGAAGGCACTTAAGAAATATTTGAAACAAATGATGTTAGCTTATTTTGACTTATCGACTTATTTTGATGGAAAAATGAGTAGGGAAAATCCAAGAAAAAAGGGATAAATTCCATAGTGAAGGGATAACTTCTTGACTTGAAATATTTTAAAAATCATTCAATGATGATTTCCAGATTAGAGAAAGGACACCTTCTCTGGTGTGAGTTGGGGTGGAAAAGAGATTGAATTTCTCCCTTTGCTGTGATTTTCTCTTAGCATTACTCTCTGAGTGCCTTCTTCAATGTATTCCAATAGCGTTTTAAATTCTCTTTAAATTCAGACAAGGTAGTTTTTTTTTAAATAAAAAAGGTTTCCAACTTTCCCTTCCCTTGATTTTCTGCTTCACAACCTTTACATTGAAGCAAACAGTTTATCCTGCACATTCAAAATTCCAAGAAGCCAATCATTTTCTTTTCAAATGACAACCTGTGCACAAAGGTAACCTATGTAGAAAGGCTGCCATTGGGTTTGATTTTCTACTTGGGAATTTCTGTAGTCACTTGAAAAGAAGACCCACAGTTCAGCACCAATTCCTGATGTAGAGAAACCTTTGATAAGCTTCCTATTACTGAAAGCAGGTGGTGAGGGAGGGGAGTTGGCTAGCTTAACCCAATTACTCTGCCTGGCAGACTGAGGAACCAATTAAAACTTACCACCCAGAATATGAGACACTAAATTTGAATGTGAACTACCATGCTTTCCCCCCCCATCCTATTTCTGTCTTTCCTTGACTTAAAAAGAAAAAAAAAACAGTATTACATTCAGCTAAAGCAACCCAAGCATGAAGGGACATAACAGCAAGATGAATTACATAAGAGAAGGCAACTCATTATTTAGATCACTTCAGGAATTCTCCTTCTCACTGAATTATTTTCTAACTTTCTTACATTCCACTGATAGAGTCACAAGTGAATTACTATAATTAAAGAAGTCGGCAGTGCTTGCCTCACATTAGACAGATCTTCCCAACGAATTCTGGGAATGAGCATTGCTGTCTCAATGATGCTTCCTAATTCAAAGCCAAAACCAAAAGAAAAAAAAAACCCAAACAAACACATCACTCCAAACTTCATCTCTGGGATATCCTTAAAGAGAAACTCAGTTTTTCCAAGTTTCCACAGTAATTTCATAAACTCGTTTCTCCGATTAATGGAGGTTCAACATAGTGATTATATGATCCAAATATTCATTTCAAGTAAGGATGTGTTCAGGTAAAAACATGTCTATAGAATAAATTGCAGCCTTGTTCTAATACAATCAATTTTTATTGGGAATCTAATGGGATCTATCCAATAATATTTAATTAACAGAAGCACCAAAAGGATCTTCTTATACTATAAAGGATGAAAGGGACCTTGGAAATTACTTAGTCCATCCATGTCAAAGTCAAGGCCCAAACCAGATTAAAACATAATTGGGAAATATTTAATAAAAAAAAATGAAAATACAAAATAAATATCAATTTATGGTTTTCTTTCATTTGAGTTTGACACCACTTATCTAGTCCAACTCCTTCATTTTACAGGTGAGAAAACAAAGGCCCAGAGAAGAGAAAACTTGTTCAAGGTCACAAAGCTTGTAAGTAATTAAGGCAGGATCTAGAATGAGCTCCTTAACACCGAATGCAGCGTATTTTCTGCTACAGCATACTGCTTCTTTGTAGATGACAAGATTTCCAGCATGGCTCTAAATAATTGTATCAGTAAGGATTGTATATATTCCTTTTAGGCTAGATACTTATTGGAAATAAACCAGAAGAGTCCAGAGACACTTACTGAAGGTGAGGAATCTATATCTCTCCTTCCCACCATAGTCTAGAATAAGCCATCTAAATTCATCGCCACCACTTCCTAATCCTCAAGCTCTTGAAATCGAATTCTAACCCCATAACTTGACTGAAACTGTTCTTTCCAATTTTCCCAGTAATCTCATAATTGTTCAATCTGATGGTCTATTCTTAGCGCTATTGTCAAAGTAGTCTTTTACACCATTGGCCATCGGGGCACACTCTCTTCTCTTGGTTTCTTTGGCATTACTCTAATTCTCCTTCTAGTTGTTTGACTTTCCTTTGCTTCTGCATCTTCTGTTTCTTTGCTATGAATGTTCTCCAGAGCTCTCTGCCGTACCATTTTCTCTTCTCTCTTTAAATTCTCTATCTTAAGCAATCTCAACAGGCTCGATTCTATGGGCTTAATAATCACCTATCTGAAGATGACTTGGCAAACTTTGTATCCAGAACTTTCTTTCTCTCCTAAGTCTAGAAATGCATGATCAGCTGCCTATTGGTTACTTCCTCTCAGATGGCCCACAGGAAAATAATTTGACAGTCACAATGAGATATTAGTCATTGTTATGTTGATTGTGGGAAAATTCTCCTCACTATGTTAAAATACAAATTGTTAAAAATACAATAAAAATACTACTCAAAAATGTGTCTTTAAAGTCAAGCAATGCTAAGCTGCCTAATAAAAATAAAGGCTTACCAAAACAAACTTAACATTTAAACAAGTAGATTTTCCTCCCTAAACTTCCCTATTAGGAGTAGATTCCTACTATCCTTCCTAGTTTATCCCAGCAAGCATGGAGTAAACCTTGACTTTTCTCTCTCCTTTCCCCTCTTCTATATTCAACCAACTGCTAAGTCCTGTTAAATTTCCATCCCATTCTCTTTACTCGCAAGGTCCTCACTCTATAGCCAAGTCTTATCATCTTGTAAAGAAGGACTGTTTCATTTGTTGAATTTGTATCCCCAGTGCCTAACATAGAGTAGGAACTAAACAGATAACTGGTGATGGATTGATGATTATCTAGATTCTTATAAGAGCCCCTAAGTTTATTTCTTTGTTTCCAGCATCACCACTCTTCAATCTCGTTTCCACAGAGCTACAATAATAAACTTCCCAGATCACTAGTCAGAATATACACTTACTTTGCTGAAAACATCTTCAGAAACTCCCTATTGCCTCTAGGAAAAAACAGAAACTCACCAGCCCAACATTTAAAGTCCACTCTCCAGTCAAGTTTTCCATACTTTGAAAAATCTTTACTCCCTTCAAGCATTCTTTATTCTAGCCATTCCCTGAACTTGGGCCTCTATTTCCTACCCTTGTGCACAGGCTGTCTCATTAGGAATACACATTCAATAAATGAAACAGTCCTTATTTACAAGATGATAAAGTTCTACATTGAAAATTCTGTAGCTTCCTTAAAGAATCAACTTAAGTGTCACATCTTACTTGAAGCCTTTCTTTTTTTTTACTTTTTATTTATTTTTAATTTATGGAAAAAAACAAGCATTTCTATAACACAGTAGAATGAAAAAAAAGATGATTGCACATGAACCTGCAAATCTATTATGTAAAACTTGCTATTCTCTTTAAATACATAATAAAGCTATCATGTAAATTTCTTTTTTTTTTCTTGCCTCCCCAACCTTCCCCACCCAAGATAAAAGCCTTTCTTGATCCCCAGGTTTTTAGTGCCCTCTCTCTTTCTCCTAAAATTACTATCTTTATTAATGTTCACGTTTTCTATATTTATAAATCTATATCCACATATAGATGTGTGTATACTATATGCATAGATTATACATGCACACATATATACAGATATATGCACACAGACATATTTACACACATGCATACACACAGGCATATATGTAAACACGTGTACATTTTGTATATATGTGAGTATATGTTGGCATGTATACACATGTGTGCGTGTTTTACATATACAACACAATATATGTACATGTATGTATATGTATACATGTTTACTATATGTGTGTATAGGTGTGTGTGTGTATACACACACACACCTATACACACATATATACGATTTTTCCAAAAGAATAACATTTCCTTTAAAGCAGGAAGTGTTTCATTTTGGCCTTTCTGTATCCTGAGCGCTTAGCACAGTGGCAGGCATTTCATAAATGTTAAACTGCACTCATCTTTATTGGAATAAACTCCCCAGCACAGTAATCTTACCGACTCTGCGTGCTCCATGACGGCCAAGACGAAGAAGACATACTCTTGACCACTCTGGAGCTGCTTGTTTGTGAAGCCACCATAATGTTTTTCATCCCCCAGGGTGAATTCAGTAGGAAGAACATCAAAATGAGCAGCAATATATGGCTTTAGTTCAACCTCTCTTTCGTGACGGAGGCTCCTGCGTTTCCGAGATATCTCCTTAAGAAGCTTTTTTTTTTGGAGGGGGTAGAAATAGAAAGAGACATGTAAACAACAATAATAGAAACTATTGACAGTTTAATGGGGAAATATATTTCAAAACCAAAACCAAACTAAATACAATTTATCTGCATTTCATTGAGTACGTCAGCATCGCTAAATCTCAATTCTCTCAGTTTTTCCATTTCTTGCCTTTCTTGTTAAAATGAGGTACTGGAGGTTACTACCAAGTTGCTTATAAGGTTAACATGACCGAAGAGGTCAATTTTCAGTAAATGATATCATTGTCCACACTCACAAAATTCTACAAAGAAAAGTCAATCCCAAATTAAAACTTACATAAGGAAAATTAGCTTCTTGCAGGGAGTATAGGATTTAGAGTTAAAAGAGTTTAAAGGCAAAAAGAACCTGAGGCCCAAAGAAGGGGAGCAACTTACACAAACTTACACAGAACATAAGAGCCAAGGATTAAGATTTGAACACAGACCCTGTTCTTTACACTACTGTACAATTCCTTAACTAAGCAGTCATGTCTACGCCTGTATTTGAATTAGTCAACGTAAGCATTACTTGACTTTACAGACATACTTTGAGTCATACTTTTGCTTAGCTTTCTGGCAAAAGGCACTTTATAGAGTGAGCAGAATTTCCCCCAGCACCAACATAAAATGACTGAATATTTTTATTTGCGCATGTGAAATTGATATGTTATTTACAAATATGTAAATAGATTGTGCCTCACATTTCATGATCTTGCAGGTCAAGTTTTAATTGACCATTTAGGAGGTTATTCATATTTTAATCCCAAACAAGTTTCTCCCGGACATACAGCATTCCTGGTATAGCTATTCCTCCTTCTACCTGGTGTATATTAGTAAATGAAAATGTATTGAAATATGATAATCATTTCTGAGATGAAGAGGAGGGTACATTCTACTCTATGATTAACAAAAAAACCTGTTTTTGGATCATATGTTGCTTTGAATACCCATAAGACCACCCTCCTATTCTCAATTATTATAAGTGCTCAGTAATATACTATATTAGGTGCTAGACTTCAAATGATAAGCACTGATCCAAAGACTGATAAGAATCAGAGCTCTTAATATAAAGAAAGTGGTCACAATAAAGTTTAGATCAAATGTCCTGATTTTCTTTTGAGCCTCAGTTTCCTCATTTGTCAAAAGGGGAGAGGGTTAAACTACTTGATTTCTAGGAGCCTTCCCACAGCCAATGTACTTGAATTCTTCAGAATTTTCTACTTAATCCTGATACCACATGAAGGCTAATAATGTACTACAGACTCCCTTTTCTTCACTGACATTTGTAGAGAGCTTTAAGGTTCACAAAGCACTTTAAGTAAGGAGGCTAGATGGCACAGTAGATAGAGCCCTGGGCCTAGAGTCAGGAAGACTTGATTTCAAATCCAGCCTCAGATACTTACTAGCTGTGTGACCCTGGGGAAGTCACTTAATCTCTGTTTGCCTCAATTTCCTCATCTATAAAATGAGTATAATAATAACATCTACCTCCCAGGGTAGTTGTAAGGATCAAATGAGATAACATTTGTAGAGCACTTAGCACAGTGCCTAGCACATAGTAGGTATTATATAAATGTTATCTATTGTTATTATCATTATTAATACATTATTTTATTTAAGCCTTACAATGACAGTATGAGGCAGATACTAGAGGTATTCTAATTCTCATTTCATGATAAGGAAACAGATTCAAAGAGGTTAGTATGATAACCACAAGGTGTGAGACGTAGGGTTTGATTAAAAGCCTGCCCAGTTCCAGGCCCATTCCACCCCACTATCCATTAGGCTATGCTATTCAACTGGATAAACAGAAACCAGTCTAATGCTGACAGATATTTGATGACATGCTTTGATCAAACATGTGGCTTGACTTGATACACTTTAAGACAGAAATCATTTAAGTTTGGACTGGTGCAAATAATGTTGATTATATGTATTTTAGTGTCTAAGGAGAAAAGGGTACATAATCTGAGGTTAAATGGTATCTTGTTTTATTAAAATAAGTTGGTAGCTCTTCTGTACTTGTCTCCAAGGGCATTCTAAATAAACAGAAAATTATGTTCATCTTGATGAGCAAACCCCAGATTCACATTGTTCTAGTGCTCCATTTTTTTTTTTTGGGCTTGAGGCAATTGGGGTTAAGTTACAGCTGGTGAGTGTAATGTGTCTGAGGTCACATTTGAACTCAGGTCCTCCTGACTCCAGGGCTAGTGCTCCATCCACTGGGCCACCTAGCTACTCCTAGTCCTCCATTTTTAATGGACAATGACAAAACCTAAGAACTTAATTCCACTTATTAAAATAATACCGAATATATTCTTGATCAGGGAAAGGTCCTTAAGCTTTCCCTTGCACTGACTGATGGCTTGAGATTTCCTCCCACCTACTCTTTGTCTTCTCTTGGGCAAACAGGACCAACATCATACTTGAAGGATAAAGATGCAGAACCATTCCATAGCCAGTTATGCAACTGGCTCAGCTTTTTGCCATACAAGTGAAGCTAACACAGTGAATGGAGGAAGGTATATTCACAGCTAAAAAATGAGAAGAAATCTCTGGGACAAGATAAACATCAGTATGAAAGTGACTAGAGGTGATTCTTATGAAATATTTTATCACAACACATGCTCACTATGATAAGCTTCAATTATAGTTTCTTTAAGTTCTAGTGATTGAGTATGGATCTTTTTTTTCCCCTATGCTGATTACCAAATTCACCAGGCAGTTAACTCAAAGGCATAAAGCAACATGTTTACTCTGAGCTTCTTAGAGACATATAAATGAGTGCGAGATTTTTAACTAAAATTTCAAGGACATGCTATCACAACAGAAAAGAAGTATGTGCACATAATGATTATCTTTGAATAAGGCTTTATTTCAGATACTTTAATATTTTCTTGGTTATTTGGATTTGATCTATTGATGAAATAGAAAAAAAGATATATAAAAAACTTATATTCTACCCACATGCCTAAAATACCTTTCATAATATTTGACAATAGTATTGCCTGCATGAACTCAGTCAAATCATTCAACCTTTTCTGGCTTCAGTTTCCTCATCTGTAAAATAAGGGAGCTGAACTAGATAGCCTTTAATGGTCTTTCCATATCTAAATCTATGAACCTACATTATGAAACACAGCTATGTTAAAGTTGTATCTTGTTCTGGTCCCCCTGACCACCACCACCCTTCCACTCAATACAGTAAGCCAGTTTATAAGTAGTTGGTGTGAAGTAATAATAATAGGAAGTAAGATTGCAAAGGGGAACCTAGAATTCATGAATAGATCTTCCCAAAGATCAAAGGAGCATAGTTTACAAATTGTATCATATTGCTGTCAGGGCCTTTTGATCCTATGATATGCAAATCTCAGATAAATTCCAGAAACCTGCAGTAAGACCAGCGGAACACCAGATGTTACTGGTTACTCTGAGATAACTTGCATATGTTAATGTAAAGTTTTACCAATTATTTGAGATTATTTGTATATGTTAATGAACTAAACACAAAGAGGCACAGACAAGAATTAGTCTGCTCCTCCACAAAAGACCTATAAACATGAGACATCCATCTCTTGCCCCCCAAGAATCCTCCATCTTCATTTACATCCATGCTGTCAAATTCTCTCAACTTTAATCCATGATTCTGCAAGCGATTCTTTGTGGCTCTCTCCCTGCCCTTTCTCTTCCTAACTGCCTACCTTCATCTAGCACCTCATCCCTGACCCCAAGTTGTCTGCCTCAGGACCCCTTCACACTGCTTGGCCAGTCTCTGTACTCTCTATGCCTTTTTAAAGCATGAGGGCAGTCTCACTTCCCACTACCACTGTGGTAAAAGAAGTGGGCATGACTGCCTCATTTCATAAATTAATTTGCAGTTCAAAAGAGTATTATCAGATTAGGAACCAAGAGATCTGAGCTTAAGATTCTCTTTTGCAACAAACTAGTCCAATGACTTTTAGCATGTCATGTCCCATTCTCTCCTTCTTGCTCCCAGCTTACCACACACCAGATCTCAGTTTTCCCATCTATTAAATAAATGTGTTTGACTAAATGTGCTCCAAGATTCTTTACTGCTCCCAGTGCACAACTCAGATTCTTTAATTACATATGGAAAAAAATTAGATATTAATAGAACTGAAAAAAATAATTAAATAATGTGAAAAAACCTTGATATCAAATGTAACCTTTCTGGTCAAAAGTTTGATTTATTTTGTAAAAGAAGAAAAAAATAATCACATTGTGGGATTTTATTAAATTCTTCAACTGATTCCCAAATAGAGAGACATCCTCATGAGTGAAATGTCCTAAGTTCTACTGATCCTAAGTTTATACTAAGAAATATTTGATAATTTATGTATTTGTCCTACTTCTACAAGGTTAGGTTAGGTTACTTTTCTTTTAAAGATGTATGGACAACTTCAAAAGACTTTTTCTTTCTTTTTTAAACTGACCTCATATGCTAGAGGAAATGTTGCTTTTGGGGAATCAGGAAAAAGGTCAGCATAGATGTAATGTAAATGTCAGCAGTCACCAAGCGTGATAAAAGCAAACAGACTATTGGTCAGATATGTATCCCTCTGAAAGCCAGTTAATCAAGTACAAATAACAGTAGTTTGTGTGAATATATCAGCATACCACTTCCACCTCACTGATCAAACCCTGAAGGTACTCTTGATTTCATTCATATTTTAGAGGTACGATGCTATCATAATTCATCCATATTACTGTCATTCCCAGGGGTTACTATCTAAACTCCTAGGTATTTGAGATATTTTAATTGTTCTGGTCTGCATGGTACTCCAAATGTGCTCCATACCTCAAAAGTAACCATTCAGGTCACAAATGGAAACCCTTTAGTTTGCATTTATTTGGTTGGAATGCTGCCTCTGTTACACTCTTAAATCATGAAGGTGTATTTGGATGGCAATAAATGGTAACTACATTGTTGTCACAATCACAAACTGGCCCCACCATCCCATTACAAATCAATAATGTGAAATTAAACTCAAAGATCACATGGTAGTGTTTGGATTGTTCCCAGACCTGTGATCAAGTCCTGATATATCACATTACCTTGAACAACTAGAGGGGTTAGTGTGGTCCAGTGGAAATAATATTAACTTTGGTTTGAATCTTGCATCAGCCATTTGCTGTGTGATTTTTCTTTTTTTTGGCAATTTGCTTTACCCTTCTGGGTCCCAGTCTCCTCATCTATAAATGGAGGGGTGGATTAAATTACCTTTATATTCTTTTCTAGCTCTGAACCTATGATCCTATGGTTCTAAGTGACCTCATTTCTCTGCCCTCAGTTTCCTTATTTGTAAAATGAGGATGACAATTCCTATATTACCTACCCCAGAGGATACTGAGATGAAAATACCCTTTAAGCCTTAAAATACTATATAAATGTGAGCTACTATTAATAAATATAACTAATATTCTCATTTTTCTATTGGTAACAATGAATGTGCCTGAACTGACCTTGATAACAGGAGTTGTGTTCATGGCATTTATCACTTTGGGAGGCCCCTTAACCAGAATGGGACAAACTAGAAGATAATGTTGAGAGTAATTCTCCTTCAGAACCATCCTTCAATTTTTATAGGCATAGATATGAGTCTTAGCTGCGGAAATTCCCTTAGGCCACCATTCTCTCATTTGAGGGGTTTCCAACAAATTGAATTACAGGCTTTTAAAAAAATTACTCGGTCAAACGTATTTAAGACTTTCATCTGAGTAGCACTGCTTTGTCATATTTGGCAGTGCCAAGTGGCACGATGAAATTACGACAAAGCTTTTATATTATCCACAGTATGAAAAAAAAAGAGTCTGAAGGGATCAGAAAGTAGATGAGTAAGCATAAAGTGAGAACATTGCTTACTACTCATTCGTTCCCCTCTACAATAGCTACTTGATGTATTGGAGGTACTTCCAAAAGATATATAAAGGGCTTGGGCTCTTTATCAGAAATAATTTTCATTTTCCAGTCAATGCATATCTTATTTCTTCCACCATTAATTCTACAATGTGGTCTCAATTATGTCAGTAAAAAAGTAGGAAACAACCCATCCTGACCCAAATATTTCTGAATTAATAAATGTTCTTTATCAAACTATTATACAGATTAATGCACCACAACTTGCAGGATGATTAAAATGACCCTTTGTTATGGGAATCGGCAGCACAGACCCATAGAATTTAATTGCAAGGAAGTTCAATGTCATACAGCCTCTCACTTTAATCTATTAGCCCTACTGCATTATGATGGGGATTCTGGAGGTTAAAATTGGGCTGTAATATTAAGTCAGCTTTCATTACTTACTACCAAGTGACTCTTAAAAAATTGATCTTAATGCTTAAATGTATTTGATGCAACATTGGACTATCTATTTCAGTGTCATGAAAAACTTTTTTGTCCGTTTATTTTTTATAAGTAAAGGAACGGAGACAGTAGGTTACACAGTTTTAAAAATCTAATTCTAATCAAAATGGAATGGAGACATTGTTGGAAATTATTTGAGAACTGATTAAAATAATGAAGAATATTTCACTTTTTAATTGATTAGTCAGATGCAAGAAAACTCATGTCTTGCTTTGCATTACTTAGAAGAGACCAACCAATCCTTTTGCATCTTCTGATGAAGGATTATTATTCTTCCAGTATCACAGATAATGATTTCCTTGCTCTGTCTTCTGAATAGGAGGGGAAAAATCAACTTAAAAAGTATCTAAATTATTTGACAATGTTAGGGAAATGATGCCTAAGATACTTGATAAACCTCTGGACTACTGACTTAATGATAACACAGGGGCAACTAGATGGTGAAGTGGATAGAGTACTGGCCTTGGAGTCAGGAAAACTCATCTTTTAGAGTTTAAATCTGGCCTCAGGCTTTTATTAGCTGTGGGATCCTAGGCAAGTCTTTTAATCCTATTTGCCTCAGTTTCTTCATCTCTAAATTGAACTGGAGAAGAAAATGGCAAATGACTTCACTAAGAAAACCCCAAATGGGGTCGTGGAGTAGTAAACGTTACTTCTCTGAAAATATGTTATAGCAAGTTCTTATTCTTAATTAATTAGGATTATGGAGAAGCAAAAACAAAACAAAACAAACTAAATACAGACACACACATTATGCATGTATGCATGTATGTACGTATGAATGAATGAAATAATTTATGAGTACCATGCTTATGTAAATCTACTATTTAAAAGAAAAGAATTAATAGAAGTGTTTTAAAAATCCTTTGCAAAGGGATTCACAATAATATCTATTTAAATAGCAATACCCTTTGCTACATTTACAAATACACCTCAGCTACTATATATGTGCTTTGTGGCAAGTCATTTTGCTTCTCTTTGCCTCGACTTTTTCACCCATAAAATAAGGAAATTAGACCTGATGATCTATAAAAGCCCTTTCAGCTAGGGATCCCATAAATCCAATTTACAAAAATATAATTTACACACAGTTGTTTTTTTTTCTTTTTTTGAAACAGCTAATTACATAAAATGAAATGCATCCATCCAATTCTTTTCAAGCAAAGTGCAGGAAATCAAGACCATAATTAACCTACATATTATATTTACTGTATGTATTTTATTGAGTTTACTAGTTGTGATACTAGTCAATTCATTTATTGAATGAATTACAAAGATTTATTAAATACCTACTGCAGGTTTGCATGAAGAGGATACAAAGACTAGATATAATACTGTAAATTTCCCCCCTCCAAAACTGTTTTGAATTTCTGGATTTAAAAATGAAAGAGACTGAAAAAATAATTTCCGTATCAGTAGAATTATATGCATCACACACAGAAGCCACAAGGTAAGTCAAATGTTAAAATACAATGCAAATTACAATTAAGCATTTGGTATATCTTGGTCCAACACCTCATTAATGAAGTAGACCATTACCGGAGTTTGCATCAATGATGATTAAACTTCTAAGACAGCTCATTTCACCTCCCCATACCTCTGCAACTTGGTTTACAATGGGCAAAGGGGAAAATACTAAAGCCAACAATAATTAGACCATCTGTACACTTTACTGAAATTAAGTAATGGTATCTTTGTGCTGGTCCCCTACGGATTGTAAACGTATACTATGATAACTCGTACTAGAAAGATATGTAAAGGTAGCAAATAGCCTAGAGACCATTATACTGTGATCACTAGTTAGTTAATTAAACAGTCAATACAATGAAATAAACAAAAGAGACATTTACCTCATCTAATTCCATTTCATCTGGACTTTCCCATGGCTTGATAAATTTTCCACGTGACTTCTTTAAAGGCACAATTACTATGTAGTAACCCCTAAAAAGAAATAGTTACATACAAAATGGTTAAAATAAATTCAAGTAGTTAAGTGTGTATATTGATTTAAAACTATCTTTTATACAACGACTGAGGTTAAAGGCAAATTAAGTGGATGGCACATCATCCTCTCAAGGGACTCATCACCAATTGCTTATTTTTTTTTTCACTTTCTCAAACAGAACACATAGGCATTTCATTGCAATTTTGATGATGAAATATTATAATATCTCTAGAAGGCAATTCCACAATACAGGTTATCAACTAATTCCTGTAGCATATTTTATTAGAGAATTACTCAAGGCATTTAGAGCTTAAACAACTCCTCATAGTCATAAAACTGGGATGTTTCAGGGGCAATCCAATCCAGGTCTCTCTGTTTCCTTGGATAGAAGGAGGTCTTATCTTCCAATTTCCAAGGCTAAACATTTTGTTCACTATACCATACCCTCTCCATTTGATAACTGGCATTTTTACAAGGTAGAATAAGCATACTAAAATTGTGCACTGGATTTCTTTTTTTATCATTAGTTTTTATTTTTAAAAATTTTTATTAATTTATTTTGATTTATCAACAATCACTTCCATATGCTTTTGACTTTAAAATTTTTCTCCCCCTTCCTCCCCACCACCCTCCCTAAGATAGTGCACAATCTGATATAGGCTATACATTTATATTCTTATTAAACATATTTTCACATTAGTGAAGTTGTAAGTAAAAATTAAAACCAGTAAGAGGAACCATCAGAAAGAGGAAACAAAACTCAACAGAAGAGAAAAAAAATGATAGCAATTCAACTTCCATAGTCCTTTCTTTGTATGTGGACTGCATTTTCCATCACAAGGCTTCTGGAGATGTCTTAGATCCTTGTATTGCTGAGAAGGGTTAAGTTTATCAATGTTAGTCATCGCACAACGTGGCTGTTACTGTGCACAAAGTTCTCTTGGTTCTGCTCACTTCACTCAGCATCAGATCATACAAGTCTTTCCAGGTTTTTCTGAAGTCAGCCCATCCATCATTTGTTGTAGCACAATAGTATTCCATTACATTCATGCACCACAACTTGCTCAGCCATTCCCCAACTGATGGACAATCTCTCAATTTCCAATTCTTTGCCACAACAAAAAGAGCTGCTATGAATATTTTTGTACATGTGGGTCCTTTTCCCATTTGTTTGATCTCTTTGGGATATAGCCCTAGAAGTGCTATTGCTGGGTCAGAGGGTATGCACATTTTTATAGCCCTTTGGGCATACTTCCAAATTGTTCTCCAAAACGGTTGGATCATTTCACAACTCCACCAACAATGCATTAGTGTTCCAATTTCCCCACATCTTCTCCAACATTTATCATTTTCCTGTTTTGTCATGTTGGCCAATCTGATAGGTGTGATGTGGTACCTCAGAATTGTTTTGATTTGTATTTCTCTAACCAATAATGATTTAGAGCATTTTTTCATATGACTATAGATGACTTTAATTTCTTCATCTGAGAACTGTCTGTTCATATCCTTTGACCATTTATCAATTGGGCAACAGCTTGTATTCTTATAAATTTGTCTTAATTCTCTCTACATTTTAGAAATGAGGCCCCTATCAGAGAGACTGGTTGTAAAAATTCTTTCCCGATTTTCTACCTTCCTTCTAATCTTAGTTGCATTGGCTTTTTTTGTGCAAAAACTTTTCAATGTAATGTAATCAAAATTATCCATTTTGCTTTTCATAATGTTCTCTATCTCCTGTTTGGTCATGAAGTCTTCTGTTCTCTATAGATCTGATAGGTAAACTATTTCTTCTTCTCCCAGTTTGCTTATAGTATCAGTCTTTATATCTAAATCATGAACCCATTTTTACTTTATTTTGGTATATGGTATGAGATCTGGGTCTATGCCTAGTTTCTGCCATACTCTTTTCCAGTTTCCCAGCAGTTCTTTTCAAAGAGTGGGTTCTTATCCCAGAAACTGGGCTCTTTAGCTTTATCAAATAATGGATTACTATAGTCACTGACTACTGTGTCTTGCATATTTAACCTATTCCACTGATCCACCACTCTATTTCTTGGCCACTACCAAGCAGTTTTGATGATTGCTGCTTTATAATACAATTTAAGATCTGGAATTGCTAGGCCACCTTCTTTTCATTAGTTCCTCTGATATTCTGGACCTTGCGTTCTTCCAAATGAATCTTTTTATTATTTTTTCTAACTCCATAAAATAATTTTTTGGTAGTTTGATTAGTATGGCACTGAATAAGTAAATTAGCTTAGATAGGATTGTCATTTTTATTATATTAGCTCAGCTTACCCATGAGCAACTGATGTTTTCCAATTATTTAGATCTGATTTTATTTGTGTGAAGTGTTTTGTAATTGTGTTCATAATTTCAATTTTATTAATTTTTCCTTTGGTTTTCAATATTTGTAATTTGGTGTTTAATTGAGGATTTTCAATTTCTTCTTGTTCTACTTTTTTTAGTTGTATGCCCAATTCATTGATCTCCTCTTTTTCTATTTTATTTATGTAAGCATTTAGAGATATAAAATTTCCCCTAAGAACTGCTTTCGCTGCATACCATAAGTTTTGTTATGTTGTCTCATTATTGTCATTCTCTTGAATGAAATTATTGATTGTTTCTATGATTTGTTATTTGACCCAATCGTTTTTTAGGATTAGATTATTTAGTTTCCAATTTTTTTTTTTTAGTTTATCTTTCCATGGTCCTTTATTACATATAATTTTTTATTGCATCATGATCTGAAAAGAATGCATTTAATATTTCTACCTTTCTGCATTGGATTGTGAGGTTTTTATGCCCTAGTACCTGGTCAATTTTTGTGGATGTGCCATGTACTGCCGAGAAAAAAGTATATTCCTTTCTATCCCCATTCAATTTTCTCCAGAGGTCTATCATACCTAATTTTTCTAATGTTCTGTTCACCTCCTTAACTTCTTTCTTGTTTATTTTGTGGTTAGATTTATCTAGTACAGAGAGGGGGAGGTTGAGGTCCCCTACTAGTATAATTTTGCTGTCTATTTCTTCCTGTAACTCCCTGAACTTCTCCTCTAAGAATCTGGATGCTATACTATTTGGTGCATATATATTTAGTAATGATATTACTTCATTGTCTATGGTGCCTTTTATCAGGATATAGTTCCCTTCCTTATCTCTTTTGATTAGATCTATTTTTACTTTTGCTTTGCCTGAGATCAGGATTGCTATCCCTGCTTTTTTTACTTAAGGTGAAGCATAATATATCCTGCTCTAGCCTTTTACCTTTACCCTGTATATGTCACTCTTTTTCAAATGTGTTTCCTGTAAACAACATATTGTAGGATTATGGTTTTTAATCCATTCTGCAATCTGTTTCCATTTTATGGGAGAGTTCATCCCATTCACATTCACAGTTATGATTACTGTCTGTGTCTTTTTCTCCATCCTTCCCCCCCATTTATGCTTTTCTTTCTCCTTTCTCCTTTCCACCTCCACTAGTGTTTTGCTTTTGACCACCGCCTCCTTCAGTCCCTCCTCCCTTTCCCTTTTCTTCCCCTTTACCCTTACTGATTCTTCCCTCCCTTCTATCCCCCCTCCTTTTTCTTTCCCCTTTTCTCTCCTACTGCCTATAGGGCAAGTTAGATTTCTATACCTAACTGATTATGTTATTCCTTTCTTGAGCCAAATCTGATGAGAACAAGGTTCAAACAATGCTCACCCCCCCTCCCTTCTTTCCTTCTGCTGTGATAGGAACTAAAATACACCCCCTTTATGTATACTCCTTTACTCATGGTGGTTTTTTGTTCCCTGGCCTTTAAAGCAGCTGTTCCAGGATTTTTTTTCTGGGGTGATATTTTTCTGGGGTTTTCAGAGACTGATAGGGGAGGGTGACAACAACTACCTTTTTACTCTGCCATCTTGGATCCCAGAAGCGGAAGTGTCTGCATTGGCTTTCTAAAATTACATTTAGACAGGTGGGATTTCTGTAATGTGGAACACCTACTTTTAATCTCTCCTATAAAGTGCTCATTTCTTAAGGAAGGGTAACTTCTACTAAATTCTACTTTGATGTTCCATTATTAAGAATAATTCACTGTGGTGACTCAAATGTTCTGAAAATTGCCCACAAGCTCAGGCAGGTCTTTCTTGAGCCAGGAAGGCTTCAAATATAGGGTCACAGATGGACTTTGTATCTGGTCAGAAGATCAGCCTAGCTACATTTTGCGAGGCTTATTACCAGATAAGCCATCAGAAGACAAAATTTTTCATCCACAGCAACTCACAAAGACCCCCCTTTAAGGTATGGAGGGGCTGGGATCTATATCAGGGAATAACAAACATCAGGTGATAAGGCCACACTGACAAAACTAGGGATCATGATGATTACAGAAGGGTGGTGGTTGTGTGGGACTCCTTCCTCCATCTCAGTTAATTTTCTCACAGAATACAATTGGGAATTATGAGATTTTAACATGTTAAAATGTATATAATATTAACTAAGCATGGGGAAGCATGAACATGAGTAACAGAGCTCTAAATATACTTGATAAACACTTCTCAGAAGATCACCCCTTTTTCTGTCTGTATCAAGAAAATGGGCTTCCACTAACATGTTTTCTGGTGCCTCACAAGCCATATGCAATCATATGGAATCATATAAAAATCAATGGCTACAGAGCACAAAATCTGGTGGATCCAACCAAGGTGTAAATACTTTTATTTTCATCCTAATCATTGGAATGCTAGATACTGATGATATTGGTAAATGTTTTCAGCCAAGCAACTCATACTAAAGTGTGGAGGGACCATAATGTGTGCCTGTGGAGGCAATAATTGTATAGATAAAGTGAGGAGCTTTTTCCCATGCCCAGAGTAATGACCCAATAAACTGTTCAATCACTTAGCCAAATAGTCAGTCGACTAGCATTTATCAAGCACTTGCCAACAAGTATTTATTATGCACCTACTAAATACTATAAGTTATACTAGATATTGGAGGATATAATAATTT